CGGCAGCGCGCAGGGCGCGGCGCAGAGCGGCTCGCAGGCGCCCAGGACGGCGGCCAGCCCCGAGGGAGACTCCGCCGCGGCGGGGGCGTCCCGGGCGGAGCCGGCGGGGCCGCGGCCGAGGAAACCGCTGGAGCCGGGGAACTTCCACTGCGGCATCCGCGGCAGCAGCGCGCAGAAGGTGGTGCCGTGCTCGGGCTCCTCGCCCGCCGCGGGGCACGGCGCGGGGGCCGGCGACGGCATGGGGGCGGTCAGCGGCTCGTCGCGGAAGCGGTCATACTTGGGCTCCGGGAGCATGCCCGGGGCCGCTCGCCGCTCCGCTCCGCTGCCGCCGCGCCGGCTCCCACCCCCCGCCCGCTCCCCCGGGGCCGCGCCGCGCTGATGTCATGGTGCGAGCGCTCCGCCGCCCGCCCGGCCCCGCATCCCCCGCCCCCGGCCCCGCGGCCGCCGGAGCATCCCCGTCCCGCCCAGCATCCCCGCCCACCGGAGCATCCCCGCGCACAACAGCATCCAGCCCACGCCTGGGCTGCCCTCGCCAACGCGGCCCGTGGGGCTGGAGCCACCCACGCTCTGCCCTCCGTCCGTCCTGTTCCAAACCCTCTGACCTCCGACCGGGCCAAAACCCGCGGGGCTGACGGCGACCCTGMGAGTTTCCAGCTTTGCCGCTGGAAAGCCTTGGGAGTGAGGGGTTGGGGGTGACAGCCCCTCCCAGAGCCACAGGGCTGAGGCACAGCCTGTCTCCCGCTCGCGTTTGCATCAGCTGGAGCGAAAGCGGTCAGCAGCCTCCGGCACTGCCCTCGCCCACAACAGGGACATTTTCTGCTCTCTTTCCACCTCTGCATCCCCGGGAAGCGCTGCAGAAGCCCAGGGCTGGCCGGGGAGGCGGGGGAGGGCTTGGACAGGCTTCGCTGCACAGCCAGGCTGCCCTACTTCTGTGCCTCCCAGCCCCACYGGTCTCTTTCGCTCTGATTTCATCTGCCTCCAAAGCCAGATCTGACTCCCGCTTGTTTTTATCTGTCTGGAGGGCTCAGGCAGTAAAAAGCACAAACACTTTGTTGTTTTTCTGCCCGTAACTGCAGCAAGCAGGGATAAAAAAAACCCCACAAAACCTTTAAAGGGACTTTCTGACCTCAATCRACCAATTCGCCCTTGCTCCTGCCCCGGGGCTGCGGCGTTTTTGGAGCAGTTCAGAGGACCCCAGGTTGGCTGGGCTCAAAAGGGYGAGGAAACCCAGAGCAGACCCACAGCARCTCWGCCGTGYTGGACCCTCACCTCTCCCCAACCCKGCATCCCCTTCATGTCTTAATATTKGGGYTCCATCCCCGCAGCATCACAGGCTCCCTTCAGCTTCCCGAGGAGCTTTCTTGGGCCGCTCTTCTGTCCAAAACCTCACCACCATCGCGGCAATCGCTGAAAACAAAACCGGAGCCTCCCCGGGGGCTTGCCATGCTCCGGGCGATGCAGCCGCCTTTGTCTTTCCCCCCTCACTGTCTCCTGCTCCCTGGCAGGTGATGGGGTGAGAGCCAGTAATTGCTCTAAGTGCGATCAATAAATCAAGGTAATAGAATTACATCTGCTGTTGCCATGTTGGGAGCCGCTCGCCTGCTCTCTGATTTCTCTCCTTGGTTTTGTTTTTTAAGCCGCTGCRGAGCTCTGGAACAAATCAGGCTTCTCCATGATCTTATAAGCGGCTCCAGGAGGGCCCGAGGGGAGCTCAGGTCCCTGCCCAGCCTGGGTGGCTGAGGGTGAAGGTTCCCGGGGGTTGGGGGGGTCAGCCAAGGGAAGGCACCGTGTCCCTGTGGAGGTTACGGGCTTTTTGCCCATGTGGAGAGCGCTCTGGGGACCGCGGGCTCTCCATAGCCCGGGGACAGCATAGCCGGGCACGGTGCAGCAGCCCTGGGGAGATGGAGCTGCTCTCCACCCCCACAGAAATCCCGGGATGTCGGGGGTTTACTTCCATCTTTCAGGCGGAGTTACCTGAGGGGGTTTTCTCTCAGGTTTAATCATTACTTAAAGGAAAATCTCTGTGGACAACGGATGGATCACAGCCTCTGGSGCTCCGCGGGCGGGTGGGAGCCCTGACAGCCTCTCGCTGCCCCGGGGTGAGACCCCTCCAGGCGTCCCAGGTCACTTCCCGGTCACCGCCGTGCGCGCCCGGTGTTCGGGGCGGCCACCTCGAGCGGGCGGGGTCGTGCAGAGGGATTCCGGTGTGCATGAAACTTGTCTAAACTGTGCCCAAATTGATCTCCTCTGATTGCACCAAGGCAATCAGCACCACGCACTCTCCGGCCCGTGCAGAATTGATCAGAACGCGCGCCCCAAGCGCAGGCGGTACCGGGGAGGGAGCTGCTCCCCATCCGCAGCTCCGGACCGGGCTGCTCCTCCCCACCACCCGCAGCACCGGGCTTGGGAGAAGGGACGGGACCGTCCCGGGGAGGCGTTTGGCTGTCACCGTCCCGGTATGCCGGTGCTGAGGATGGCGCCACCACGGGGCAGAGTCTCCGGGGGGGGTTGCGAATCCTTGTTCATCCCGGCTGGCCCGGCCGGGTGCGGTGCCCGGTTCGGAGCAGCAGCCGCTCCCGAAGGTTCCCCGTGTCCCCCCCGGTGCCACCGCCCGCTCCCCGCGCCCCCGCCGCTCCGTGACGTCACGGCCCCGCCCATCCAGCTGGAAACGCCCGCCCCCCCGCTCCTCTCAGCCAATCACAGCCCGGCACGGCCGACGAGGAAGTGGCGGGCAGCCAATCAGACGCAMGGAGCGGCGCAGCGGAAGTGGCGGTTCCCGGTCCGGGGGCGGGGCCACGGGCGGGGTCTCCCGCTCCGCTCCCCCCGCGCCGCCCTCAGCGCCGGGCCCGGCGCTCCCCGCCCGGTGCCGGTCCGGGTCCGGTGCCGGGTCCGGGCCCCGGGCTCGGGCTCGGGCTCGGGCTCGGCCTCGGCGCAGCGCGGCCCGGTTCGGTTGGGCCCGGCCCGCCACAAGGGAGGATGGGGCAGCCGCGGCGGCCGGCGATCGGCAGCGGCCCGGCGGCGCCATGACCGGCGAGAAGAAGAAGAAGAAGCGGCTCAACCGCAGCGTCCTGCTGGCCAAGAAGATCGTGATCCGGGACGGGGCCGGCGTGAGCGCGGGGCCGGGGGCTGGCGGCGGGCACCGGGAGGGGCCGGGACTGACGGGACTGACGGGAGCGCGGCCGCGCGGGGCCCGGGCGGTGGTGCCGGTGGCCGGTGCGAGGTGAGGGCTGTCCCCGGCGGGCCGCGCTCCTCAAACCGTCCGTCCGCACGCCGCTGCCGCCTCTGCTGGGCTGCGGGCCCGGCGGGTGTCGCGGCCTGAACGATGCCATGGATGAACGCGGCACCTGCCGGTTCTGCGCCGCTTTCCGGGTGCGCTCCCGTTGCTGTGCGGTAAAACCGGACAAGGAATCCCCCACCGTCCTGCTGGGGTTGGGGTTAAGCATCCTAGGCTGTCCGTGAACAGAAACAACGTTTCAAAACAGCTCTCGCTGCCTCCTCTCGCGTTTCAGCTGTGGGAGCTTCTCTGAAATGCAGGACGTGGCTGCTGGAAGGTTTTTTTTCACTTTAAGCTCTCTGGTTTTTTTTTTCACTTTAAGCTCTTTGTTTTGCAGCGACAGGGGATCGGGGAGCCCAGCGTGTACCACGCCGTGGTGGTGATTTTCCTGGAGTTTTTTGCCTGGGGGCTGCTGACCACGCCGATGCTGACGGTGAGTGTGTCTCTGCCAACCTCTCCTGGGGCTCTTGAGAGTGAAGGTTTTTGCACAACCTATCCTTGGGGAGCTGTGGAAAAGGAGTCTTTGGTTATGCAAAAAACATTTAGACATATTTGCAATATAAAATGCAAATTGAACATGCAGTCAGCGCAAAGAGGAGCACAGATAAATGATGTGGGGACATAAAGTAAAACCAGAGGGGATTCAGGTGATGGGGAAAYGCTCTCTGAGCATTACCTGAGCGTGCTGGAATGATGAATAAATCTGGAAAGTGTTAAAGACAGTGGTTTCCCATGCTGGAAAGGGCAGGCAAAGGTATTGTTGGCAGGATATTTCCCCTTTTCCCTGTTTCGTGCCCTTCCAGGCCTCTGGCTGGCAGAGGCTTACGGAAATTTCGCAAAAGTTGCTAGCTCTGACATTTTTCATAGTTTTGCTTTGTCTTCCCTGCAGGTCTTACACCAGACTTTTCCTCAGCACACGTTCCTGATGAATGGCCTGATTCATGGAGTCAAGGTAAGGAAGATTCCTTCCAGGATTTCCTTTAAATCTGCCATCTGTGCRAGAAGGCATTATTATCCCTGCAATTTGCTGATGTCAGGCAATATTTGGCCAGTTTGGGAGGGGGGCTCTGGCAAACCTGATGCAAAAGGAAGGACAGAGACACGGGGAAGTTTGTGGGGCTGATTTGAGTGAGCAGGAGTGRCAATGTGCTGCTTGTGRGGCTTCAGTTACACCAGCTRTGTGTTTCAGCTGGAAATATTCTCATCAGCGTGAGGTCAGCCCTCTAYCTGAGTTATSCATCTTCTGGAGCATAACAGAATGACAGATCAGTGATATCTGAACTTATCAGAAGCTGAAAGGCCTCAGTGATCTCCAGGAGGTGGGAATGTGCTGTGGCACAGGGAGTGGGAATGGGGAGCTTCCTGCACCACACCAGCGTTCCCAGAGCAGAATTGCAGGCAACAATAGTGAATAGTCCTGTGTTCTGACTGGGGAATCAGGCAAAACAGAGCATTCTTGGCTCTCTGTGGMAAGAGGATCTTGGAAAACAGCCCCAGAAGGGTTTGCTGGGTGCTCCCTTCAGCCCTGAAAGGCTCTRCCCTGCCTTCCTCAGTCTTGGGAAGCCATGAAAAGGCCTTGAATAATTTTATTTGTTCTTAATGACCATGGCTTCTCATTGTGTCTGTCCTGTCTCCATCCACAAGAGAAAGCTTTCCCCAGAGCTGCAGCAGATGTTGCCATGGTGGAGCCGTGCCAGCAGCTCTCCAGGTCCTGGCAGGGCTGCCTGGGCACCCACACCATGGGCAGAGCTCTGCAGGGAGCAGGAAGGAGCAGGAGTRCTCAGTGGGGCCTTGCTGGTTGAGGATTTATTATTCTCTTCCTAAAACGACCTGGGGAATTGAATAAATTTCTCTGTTGTGACAGTATTGCTGCTTGTAGCAATCAGGAATGGTTTGTCTCTTCCTGCTGTGGTTGAAAGCTCTCACTGAGGGGTTTGTCTGTCCCCCTGTCTGTCTGTCTGTCCCTCCCAGGGTCTGCTSTCTTTCCTAAGTGCCCCGCTGATTGGTGCTCTCTCTGATGTCTGGGGCAGGAAATCCTTCCTCCTTCTCACTGTCTTCTTCACGTGTGCACCGATTCCCCTGATGAAGATCAGCCCCTGGTGAGTTCACCCTCAGTACCTCAGTTTTGGGGTTCTGAGGAGGGGAAGGAGCATGAGGCTGAACGATGAGGGTTTGCAGGTGATCATTTTAGGGTGAGATGGAAGAGTCTCATCCATCCCAGGAGWGGAAGAGGATGAGACTGACTTGTCTGGTTTTGCTTCAGGGTTCGGTTGGGAATTAAGAATTGACCTGTCCTCTGTGCTTATTTCCCTGCTCAGTGCATTATTTCTGCTAGGGAAAAGAAGTGATAAAACTTCAGGGGCCTCCAGACACAGTCTCCATGTTCCTGAGCCTCGTCTGATGCACTGGAGGGACTGAGGAGAAACCAAGAGAGAGGCTCTGCYTCAGCAGCTGTGGACTGCAGTGTGSTTSCTCTCTAACTCTGYTTTGGGCTCTTCCAGGTGGTACTTTGCTGTCATTTCCATGTCTGGAGTGTTTGCTGTCACCTTTTCCGTGATTTTTGCCTACGTTGCCGATATCACGCAGGAGCATGAGCGCAGCACGGCSTACGGCCTGGTGAGGAGCTGAGTCACTGTCCTGTCTCTTGAAAGAAATATCTGGGGCTTTGCAGGTAGGAGAGGTATAAAATTAGGATGGGAGATTTAGTGACTAATCAGAGAGTCTCCCTCTGTCCTTCTTTTTGGGATTTAGCTCTGAGGGGGAGGCTGTGCTGTATAAACCAGCCTGACCTCTGAGCTTCTCCACACCAGGGAAGGGGAGCCTGTGATGCTCAATGTGATCCTGCCCTTCCCATGGCTTTACTGGCCAAAGTGGRAATTGCTAGGACAGCTTTGATCTCCCTTTGCTAGAACTTAGCACCAAGAGAACCTGTCACAGAAATCCCTGTGAGTCCTTGTTGTCTCCATCAAAGACACCAGAAGCAGTTCCCCTGGGTCACTGAGGAGGAGGGAATGGGCTCAAGGAAAGAAGAAACTGTAGGAAAAATGATGTTTTCTGCTTTCAGGTGTCAGCCACATTTGCTGCCAGTCTGGTCACCAGCCCAGCCATTGGTGCATACCTGTCCCAAGCCTATGGTGATACCTTGGTGGTTGTGCTGGCTTCAGGGGTGGCTTTGCTGGATATTGGCTTCATCCTGCTGGCTGTGCCCGAGTCTCTGCCCGAAGAGATGCGCCCCGTCTCCTGGGGAGCCCCAATCTCCTGGGAACAAGCTGACCCATTTGCTGTGAGTGACCCTGCTGCTGTTTTCCTTTGTCAGGTGTTAAGCCCTTGGTTTGGCTGTCTTTGTACCTGGAGATTATTCAACGACATTACATCAAATTTTAAAACATTCTCTTTTATTCCTCACCCCTTTCTCTGCAGTCCTTGAGGAAGGTGGGTCAGGACTCCACAGTGCTGCTCATCTGTATCACAGTTTTTCTCTCCTACCTTCCTGAGGCCGGCCAGTACTCCAGCTTCTTCCTGTACCTGCGACAGGTCAGTCTGGCAGGGGATGTAAAGCTCTGGGTGCAGGAAATCCCAGCCTAAAAATGCAGAGCTATGTGTCCCAAGGTGGCTCTTCTCCAGTCAATATTTCACTGAAGTTGAAGCTGTAAGAAATAATGACTTGTTCCAGCCCTCCTGAAAAATGTGTGAGCCTGGTGAATGCTCTGTGGGCATTGCCAGGGGCAAGGCCTGGCTTGGCTCCTTGCTGATGTCTGCCTGGCCACTTTCAGGCACTAAAAGGGAAGCCCAGTCATTTAAAACCATCTCTTCAGCCAGAGGAAAATCATCTGTTTGGTTCCTGTGGCAGCCTGAAGGCCGTGSCTGGTTAATGTGCAGGTCCCTGAGTAACAACATCAGTAAACATGAGTGACATTGATGGAGAGGCTCTTGTCATCTGCTATAAATCTGCYTGAAAAGTCCTTCTTTGTTTTTTTCACAGGTCATTGGTTTTTCCTCAGAGACTGTAGCAGCCTTTATYGGTGTAGTTGGAATTCTCTCTATACTGGCTCAGGTGAGAAGCAATTTCTGTCTTGGCTGTGAGAATGTCCAAAATTTCTGATTTTGGGGTTGCTGATTTGTCAGAACCCTTGTGGCTGCACAGGATTTTGTACCATGGAAGATCTTGAATTGGAAGGGACCCATAAGGATCATCAAGRTCCCTCTTGTCTCCTGGTGTTGCCCTCTTTCTTTGCTCCTGCCTTGAAAACACCCATTTTTATTTCCAGACAGTCGTGTTGGGAATTCTCATGCGTTCGATAGGAAATAAAAACACCATYCTCCTGGGATTAGGCTTCCAGATCCTGCAGCTTGCCTGGTATGGCTTTGGATCACAGCCTTGGTGAGGGTTTGCCCACATTTCTCACCCTCTAAGCCCACTCCTGCCCTGAGCAGCACAGGGAGAGGCTGTGGCTGTTCCTCACAAATGCCTCCTTCCTCCCCAGGATGATGTGGGCAGCAGGAGCTGTGGCTGCCATGTCCAGCATCACCTTCCCAGCCATCAGTGCCATGGTGTCGAGGAACACAGACCCTGACCAGCAGGGTGAGTGCTCAGGGGACTGTCTGATGGGACAGGGGGTGCATTCCAGCAGGTGCTGAGCTGGCACACAGCAGGTTCTTGCCCATGGTGGTGGAGGGATGGGCAGGAACATCTGTGCCAGCTGTGCAGTGTCACTGTACTCACAGCAGTGTTCACACTTTTATCTCTGACCATGGCGTTGCATGTGGGTGTTTGGTGTTGTCTCTCTGAGGCAGAGGAGGCTGCTGTGTTTTGCCTGCCTCACATCTCTGTGTCCTCAATTACATTCCAGCTCATTGGAAATCGTTGCTTGATGTGCCTGTGCTTGTTYCAGTCTGCGAAGCAGCAAGCCCAAATTTACAAAATTACAAAATTACTGGTTTTTGTAAAACCTGGCACTGAAGGAAGCTGCCCATMTGCAAACCCCTTCCTCTGTGTGGGGTGCATGTCAGTCCAGAACCAAGTGCTTGATCCTGTCTCTAAATATCTCTGAATGCATAAGCATCCTCAAATACGAGTTTCTTTGGAAAGCTGGAGCCATATCCACCCTTCCTCTCTCTGTCCCCAGGTGTGGTGCAGGGGATGATCACTGGAATTCGGGGTCTGTGTAACGGCCTGGGGCCGGCGCTCTACGGCTTCGTCTTCTACCTTTTCCACGTGGAGCTGAACGAAATGGCTGAGGTGGAAACTCTGGGCAAGGCCTCCAAACCCAACATGGCCAACCCTACKGATGAGGTACCTACTCAGCTTCTCTCTCCCTTTGCTGGGCTGTCTCTGCCTCGTGCTTTAATCATTCCTGTGTCTCTCTCTCTACAGAGCAGCATCATCCCTGGGCCACCCTTCCTGTTTGGGGCRTGCTCCGTGCTGCTGTCGCTGCTGGTGGCCCTGTTCATTCCRGAACACAACCTGGCACTGAGGTCTGGCAGCCACAAGAAGCACAGCACGGGGGGCCAGGCCCACCCCCACAGCCCACCAGCTGGGGGGTCAGATGGCAAGGAGCCCCTTCTGGAGGACAGCAGCGTGTGAGGTGGGACAGGGGACCYGCCTTGTGGACTCCACATCGAGGATGGACTCAGCAGGAGTTCGGGGAGGGGGAGAGAGGGATCCGAGGTAACAGACTGTGCCACTAACAGCTACTGAGGAGGGACTGGGTTTCCCTTCGAGCCAAATACACCCAGCTGGTGCAAAAATGGAATTGTATCACCTGGTGCTGATGGAGAGGGGAGATACGGAACTGCTCCACTGRAGGGATAGTTTTGGGAAGCAAACCTGCCCTTGTGCGTGGCCCCGTGGTGTGCCCTGCCAAACCCTCTGCTCACCGGTCACCAAAGATGGAGCCAGCGTGGTCTGTGTTTGGTGGGAGCTCACTGAGCTGCCCCCAGAATAAAATATGGCATTTGCTCCATGCTCCATCCCTGACACAGCTGGTTCCTGCTGCTGGCACCCCCTGGCACCCCCTGCACAGTGTGCTGTGGTGACACGCTGAGGGCACGGGGTGCGTGCATGAGGCACAGGGAGTGGAGCTCTGAGTTTCCTCTCTGCTGGAGGGCCTGAGGAATCTGTTCATTCTTCCCCAAGCGAAACTTAGACCAAAAAATAATAACACTACTGACTTAATGTTCTGATGAAGAGGATAAAAATGAAGAAGTCAAGTTGCAGCTGACACAAGGGGGAATGGTCAGGTGAGAGAAAGGCAACTACACGAATTACAAACATTTGGGTGGCCACAACGGCTGCGGTTCTGTTTGGTTTTCTTCTCTTGTCACTCTGAGGTGATGTTTGCCTGTTGCTTCCTCCATGGGCAGTAGGTAGAAGGATCTTTTCAGAAATCTTTTTGTGGAACTTTGAGGGTTGTTTAGGAGATACAGTTCTCTGGGAGGTTGGAGAAATGACTAGACTGTGCTGAGTGCTTTGAGGACGCGTGGTTTCCTGGGAGAAAAGTCAGAGAAATGACTTTACCTTGAGCACTTGTATAAAACATGTTGGTTTGTCCATGACCTCCTGCCATCTGATGCTAAACCCAAAGAGCATCCAGAGCTGGTTTGTGCTCAACCCAAGAGATTCTGATGCTGAAGGTCGTGTTGATTTGAACTTGAATGGTTTGGATTCTATGTGGCATTTCTGAGCCTGCTGTGGAGGCTTTTGTTTATGTGGAACAGTGGCATGGCAACCTCTGCTGCAGGCTCAGCTCTGCTCAGAAAGAGCAGGAGGTGCTTGGAGCATTGTGAAAGGAGTTTAGGCAAACRAGGAATGTGTGGTTGTTTATAGAAATGTGGCAGAGGGCAGGAAACAATTGTTCTYGTTCGAGTAAATAAGACTTGGTGGCATTGAGCAGTTCTGGGAAGCAAGGACCAAACTGAGGACACTTCAGGAATYCTTTGTCAAGGGAATTGAGGCAGCAGCAGCCAAACCAGTCTTGCCTTGGCTGTTCCCTGGCTGGGGTCCCCTCTCTGTGGGTTTTGGGGAAGGTTACCCAGGGGAAAGCAGCCAAAAGGAAGGGAGTGCTGGCCCTTCACATGGTGRTTATCATGGCTGCACAGCAGCGACTGCAAATGCCATTTGGTTATCRGAGGTGGGTATTTTAGTGAAAGAGCTGCCTGGTTTGCCTTGATCTGGCCTGGTACCAGCTCCTGTGCTCAGAAYTAGGAGCAGCTGGGACATGAGGGATGCTGAGCTGGGTCTGGCTGCAGGTCTGGAGAGCAGAGCCTTGACCTGCTATGACTCCATTTTTCCCAAATTCCTTGTGGTGACACTCCCAATTCCCAAACATTACTGGGATGGTCAGCACTGTGTGGGGATGGCAAGCTTCTATCCTGAAGGAAATCCCGTCACTTGCACTTCCAGGCAGCAGTTCCCCACCTCTGTTYCTCACAAAAATGCCTTTTTTCAGATGGGACTTTCCTAAGTCCTGGCKATCCGTTGATTTACAATGGATTAAAGTGAGCTAAAGTAGGTTTTTCCCTCACACACACAGATGACRTAAAACACAGAATTGTTACCTCGCTCACACAGAGGCACTCGGAGCTTCACGGGTACAATACAGCTACACATTACAAAACGACGAGCATAATTTATATGATACAAAGTATATAGAGATATATTTTTAAAATTCCTCTCCCTTATTGCATAGTTTATTGAAACCCAWGTGTTTCTGGTCCCGTTCCCTCTCMCCACCRCTGCTGCCTGTGGCCTCTCAGCCTCTCCTTCCCCTCAGAACCCAGAACTGTCCAGGAATCTTCCCTCCCCAGTACCAGCCCCATTCCTGATGATGTGACCCATGAGCTTCTGGTGATGCTGGTGACTGCCAGGTCAGGGGCTGTGGTCTGGCTGGTGACTGCTGATGGCACTGGGAACCAGTGGGGTGATGGCACTGGGAACCAGTGGGGTTATGGCACTGGGAACCAGTGGGGTGATGGCACTGGGCAGTCAGGGTGGGGATATGGCAGTGGATGGATGGAGGTGAGATAGAGCACCAGGCAGCAGCAGAAACACTCCAGGTGCCATTACCAACAAAAAGGTGGCTCGTGCTGGTGTGCAGACCTGGGAGCAGGGGTGCTGGGAGCAAGCAGGGATTCCTCCCCACCCTATTGGGGTTCCTCTCCCCTGGTTTGGTGGGGCTTTGGCCTGTTGCCTCCCCTTCCCAGTGTGACCCCTGCACTGTTCTGCCTTTACCTGACAGAGCAGGAGCTGGGCCAAAGCTGGAGTTGAAGTTACCGGGACCGAATGAAGAACGACTTGTTCTGAAGGGCCGGTGCTTCTGCAGCRTCCCACGTGGAGGCTGGAAAGGCTGTGTGGAGCGTTCAGCTAGTTTTGCCAATTTTTTTGTTACTTTATATGAAAATGCAACTTTTTAAAAAAGGAATCTTTTCTTAAAATCCCCTTGATCTGCTGTGCAGTGCCCGAGCCTGGCTGTTTAACATYGGGATTCCCAGGATTTGTCTGCAGGGACTTGCAATTCGGGATGATAACAGCAATGSCCAAAAATCATCTCAATCACCTCTCTGCAGTCCTGGCATTAACGGCCACAGGTCAAGCGAGTTTCAACTGATGTTGCATTAAAAACCTGAGTTACACCATCGCTTTCTCTTCTGCCGTTAATTTTGCAAAGTAGTAACTTTTTACTTCCCCGTTTTTATTCTTTCTCTGCACTCCAAAGGCTGTTGACAGCTGTGGCATCTTTAAAGTGTGGGCATGGGATGAGTCCCTGCTGTTCCCTGGGAACAGCCCCACCTCTGCTCTCTCACAGTTCACCATCACGTGCATTCGTGTGTCTCTTTTCTAAGCTAAYGAGAAAATGTATTTATTTCGGTTCAGGTTGTGTTTGGAACTGGCTAATCTCTCCCTCTGATGGATTATTTATTAAACTGCTGCTTTCCTGTTGTGTCCAAGGTGTCTGTCCTCRTTCCTCTCCCTCACTGGTGGTACCCTGGCAGCTCCTGCCCAGCTCTCAGTGCAATCCTTGGGATTTGCATGAGGATGTGGGACAGGTTTGGGGCTGCCAGTCCCTGCCTCAACCCAGGATGGGAAGCACGTCCCTGGCTCCCACCTGCCACACTGCAGCCTCCTCCTGGACTGTTTTAACTRTTTAATTTATTGTTTTAATTTCCAGACAGGCCTTATTTAGATCTTATCTGACTCACTTAAACACTCCGTGGTGGCTGAGGATGGTCCTAAGTGAACAATATAATCCCAAAAARTATAAACACATCCAAATCAGCTCTGGGATGGGAACTGATGCTTGATGGATGATATCCTGGAAACATGAGCCATTACACAGCCTGTTGCTTCTGGATGTATTTCCTCTGGACCGGAGCTAGCTTTTATTTTATTGTTTACATCTTTAATTGAGAAAAAAACCCCGCAACTCATCTCACTTGGCATCACTGGAGAACAAAGGGCAGATGTTGCAGTGCAGGACATTGTTGACCACCCTGGCGTGGCGGTTCCTGGGCAGTGGCAAATCCTGGTCCCTTCTGGTGTCAGTGGTGACAGCCTGGGGCTGGACCCCGACCCGAGGGGCTCAGGGTATCCTGTGCTGGAGCCAACACTCGTCCCTCGGTGCTTTGTGTTTCCACACTGAACTGTTTTGTTTCCTGAGCAACATCTCCAGACAAAGCGTTGTCCAGCACGAGTCCCCCGCGCCTGCCCTGTGGGAGGAAGCACAGGAAAGGTGTTCAGGCTCCTGAGTCTGGAAAACCATCATTCCCTTCGTTCCTTCAAAGGCTTCCTGTTGGGTGGAAAACAAGGTGCGTAAGCGTGCTCCACCACGCTGTGCACGCAACCTGGTGATGTCTCTCTGCTGTGACCAGGGCAGAGAGAGCTCCTGTGCTTCTCTGGGATGGGGGGAAGGTCTGAATCCATGGAGGAGAGGTTCTGAGCAGGTGGTGGARCAGGGGTTCACTACTCAGAGGTGCTCTGAGGGCTCTGCTGTGTCACTCTGAGCTGGGCCAAGTCCCTTGACCTGCCCCTGCCCACTGGAATTGTGCAGCTGGAGAGTTATCAGGTTTTTCTGACTCTGATTTTCCCCTGTGTGGGAAGCCAGGGAAGCTCTGAGCTTTTCCAAGCCCCAAACCAGAAAAAGTGCATCACAAAGCACTTGGCTTTCTGATAACTGCTATTCTCTGGAGTTCCAGGAAGGTCCTGGGAAGCTTCTTTTWAAGATAAGGTGGCTCCATAAGAGCTCAGCTCTCATTCAGACTCTGAGTCAGGGGTTTCCTCATTGCACCAGTGCCACAATCAGGGTTGTGGGAGCGGAAGATGAAACCTTGGCACCACGTGTTTGTCCTCAAAATTCCCAGACTCATTGCTGGAAAGAGCCTGGCARTGTGGGAGCAGCCCTGGCCATGGCTTGTCCCAGAGCTGGGCTGGGGGCTCCAGCAGCTGCTGGAAAAATCTGGGAAGTGTTTCTGTTAACACAGGATGGAAGGAACAAAAACCCCAGTGCCATTAATCACCTGCTTCGGCTGAGTGTGCACATTTGGTGGGGGAATGTTTACAAAGCACTTCCTTTGCTCAGAGGCCTCTTGGACCCTCTGAGAATTAATGGCACAACCTCCTGAARGGATGCGTGGTGTGCCCAGTGCCTGGAGCTGCCTCTCTGAAGAGTTCCCAGATGKGAAAGGGACAGGTCCTGCCATGACAGGGGATGTAAAGGTGGGCACGTCCCTCCCTCAGATCTTTGGGATTTTCACCGGCCTTGGCAGGAYGGGATGGGGCAGAATCGGACTCATCTCTCCACAGGGAGCTGAGCAGGAATGAGGGAGTGATGCCAGACACAGTGTGAGACCCAGGGCACTGCTTTGGGGCTGGATAACACTGTGTCAACATCTCTGTGCCAACACTTTCTCCATCTGTACCACAGGAACACCTGCTTCCACCCCTGAAAATACCCTGCTCTAGGAATAAATGCACCCCCCGACAGGGCTGACCACGGGCTCAGGCATTGCTTTTGGAGAAGGAGCTGAGAGGGACCTTTTCCTGTGTCCTCAGCAGCTGTTGGGGTCATGGAAGGGCTGGTTTGCCAGGGGTTCTGGGGGAGTGATGGAGCCTGCAAAAACAAGCCATGGAGATGGATCTGAGCCACATCCTGGGGTGCAGATGACTGTRCAGTGGGATAAAGGGGCCCTCTGCAGCAATTCAGGGACTCTTCAGGACAGGGGCTTTCCCAGGTTTGGGGGTGCTGCYGGCTTGGCCCTCAGCTGGGTGTTGTGCAAGAGATGAACTTGGAAGAAAACCAGAAATCTCCCTCTGGAAATACCCCTTGGGCTGGAAGTTGAGGAGGTCCTGGGGCCGGTGCTCCTGGGGGCGGTTCCTACAGGGCTTAAGAAGAGTTGAGGTCGGAGCTGGCTGCCAGAAGGACACAGCCCCAGCCAGAGGCACCCGCTCCCTGGAAGAGGGGAAGGAAGGAAGGAAAGAAAGAAGAAAAACCAGCCCTGCTGCTGCCCTGTGGGTGATGGAACTGGCTCCAGTCCTTCTTCTCCTCGTCTTGCTGTGGGGATGCAGTGGTGAGTGCCAGGGGGCCAAGAGCCACCCCAATCCCCTGACCCACTGTGCTGTCCAGCCTGCTCTCCTTGCTTTGCCCATGGCACCGTGGCCTCAGGGCTTCCCTGTCACTGAGCCCTGATGGCCTCAGTGTCCCCCTGTTGCTGCTGTAGCTCCTCACCCTGGAGCTGCAGGGTGCTGGTGACTGTCCCCTTCCCAACCCTGTGCTTTCCTCCCGCCCAGGGCGCCCCGCTGACAGGCTGGTGGTGACACCGCAGGAGCCGCTGGTGCCGTTTGGGGGCTCGACAGAGCTGAACTGCTCCTTGGCCTGCGCAGGGGGCAAGGTGGAGTGGAGGGGGCTGGACACAGCCCTGGGGACCATCTCCTCCTTCCCCACCCACAGCATCCTGCACATCAGGGACGCCACTGTGGCCACGGAGGGCATGAAGATCTGCCAGGGCAGCTGCCACGGGCAGCACTACCAGAAAACTGTCGCTTTGAAGGTATACGGTAAGCGCTCCCCAGCCCATCACCTCCTCCCAGCACAGCCCTGGATCCCCGAACAGCGCCCTCCCTGCCGGGCTGTGCTGTGCTGTGCTGCCAAAAATTGCCCTTAATGCTGCCGCTCCTCTGCAGCGCTCCCGGACGCGCTGAGGCTGGAGGCAGCTCCCCACWCCCTGCGCCCGGGGCACCCCGCAAAGCTGAGATGCTCGGCCACGCATCTGTACCCCATCACCGGGGTGGCTCTCACCTGGTACCGGGGGCAGCAGGCGCTGGACAACACCGATTTCCATGAGGAGGAGACTGATGAGGAGCTGTATGACATCGTGTCCACCCTGTCAGTGACTGGAGCAGAGGTGGCAGAAGGAGTGGAGTTCAGGTGCGAGGTGACGCTGCGTGTTGGGCAGGAGACCTTCACCAGGGTGGCATCTGTGGTGGTGAGCGCTGARGGTGAGTGCCAGGACGGGCTGGAGACCCCAATCCATGTGTACCCCACCCCTCTGGAGCCAACCCCTACTGCTCGGAATAGCTCTGCCACAACAGGAGGAGCCCCCACTTCTGCACCACTCCTGGATTTCCCATCCCCATCCCCGTATCCCTCTCTGTATGCTCTTGCTCGCTGTGCTCAGGGCATGGAGGAGGTTGGGCTGCAGCCAGGTCACCTGTGACCAAGGCCACTGTGTGTTCACAGCTGTGACAGAGGTCACCTCCACGGAGAGCCCCAGCACAGCCAGGCCCGTGGCCACCACAGCACTTAGCCCAGGGTCGAGTGTCCCTACACGTGATGCCACCACAGCACAGAAATCTGACACTGGGAYCACTCTGGATCTGGCTGCTGTCACCAAACCCCCCTCCACGGGGCACGCTGTGCCCTGGCACCTCATCACACGCAATCCCACAGCCACCACCACGGGGACAGGGCCATCTGTGGGGACAGTGCCCACCTGCAGCCTGCAGATCTGGTCACTGCCACCCACCGGGACGCGGGGCAGGGCCCTGCGCATCGAGTGCCGGGCACAGTGCWCCGGGAACGCCACGGTGGGCTGGCTCCGGACCCCGGCAGCCCTCTCWCAGTACCAGGAGGAGTCTGTGGGCAGCAGCTCTGCGCTGTGGCTGGACCGGGCTGAGCCCTGGCACCAGGGCCGCTACCTGTGCGTCCTGCTCGGCCACCGCGCCCAGATGGTCAGCCTGGAGGTGGTGGTCGAGGATGGTGAGTGGTGGTGGTGGTCTTAATCGCCCTGTTCTGTTCTGTGAGCCCTTAGTCGATGCTGCAATTGGTGCTGGGGGCATTCTCTCACCCCTCAGCGTTTTCAGCCCCACTGACAGCTCATTGTGTCTGCAGATTCCTTCAGCTCAAGCCTTGCCATCGCTATGGGGACAGCGGGCTCACTTTTGGGGCTCATCGTGACCGCTGCCGTGTCTCGACGCCTGTGGAAACGATTCAGATCTCGGTAGCAGCTGTCCTAGCAGTGGGAGCAGCCGATGGATGGCCCCAGCCCTCCAGCCGTGTCCCTGCTGTCCCCTGKCTGTCGCTGGCCTCGCCCGGCCCACAGCCGGCGACAAGGAGCAGGAGCGGGAGCAGCCGCAAAGGCTGGAAAGGCAACGAGCAGAGGCGACACAGGGACAAAGGACACTCCCGGGACTGGGTCCCTGCGGTCTGGCACCGAACACTGAGCTGGTCCGGCGCTCCGGGGTCCCGGTACCACCGAGMGCCACGGCCGCTCGCCTGTCACAACACAAGGTCCGAGGCAGCCCCGGGGCTCTGCGGGCGGGTGGGACCAGTGCTCCAATAAAGAGTTGTTTCTGTTCGAGCCCTGAACGAGTGTCTTTTGGGCCGGGGCCAGCGAGCCCTCACCCGCCTCAGTCACCGCCGGCGTCCGCCCGGTTGTCAAGGGCGGGGCATTTGCCCGCAGTAAACATGGCGGCCAACAGGTTACTGCTGACAGCGCRGCKCCTTTGCCCATACCMAACATGGCGGCCGCGGCCTCACCCAATGGCGGCGTCCTCCCATCGCCTTCCTGCCTACCGATTGGCTGCCAGCGTGCAAGATGGCGGCACAGAAACTTCCGGCCCGGGCGGAAGCGCGTCCCAAGATGGCGGCGTACGAGAAGAGGCGAGCGGCCGCCGCCCCGGTGSCGGCGGGGGGCAGCGGGCTGGCGGAGCCGGGGCGGGCAGCGCCGGGGGGCGGCGGGCTGGCGGAGGGCAGCGCGGCGGAGTTCCTGCTGCAAGCCGGCGTCACAGCCATGGTGCGGGAGGCGCTGCTCAAGGTGCTGGAGGCGCGGCCCGCCGAGCCCGTGTCCTTCCTGGCCGAGTACTTCGAGCGGCTGGTGCCGGCGGAGGCGGCGGCGGAGCCTCCGGGGCCGGCGCAGCGCCTGGCCCGGGCGCTGTGGTACGTGTGCCTGGCTCATCACTCGCACAGGTGCGGCGGGCGGCGGCGGCGGGGGGCGGCGGGGACGGGGGGCGAGGCCGCCTGTCTGTGTCTGTGCCCTGTCGCGACAGGACGGCCTTCGACAGCAACACCGGCGCGGCCTACGAGGTGCTGGGGTGCGGCGGGCGGCGGCGGGCGGCGGGCGTGGACGGGCGGCTCTACAGCGAGCTGCTGCGGCGCATCTGCCAGCGCGGGGCGGCCCCGGCCGAGGCGGCGGCGGAGCTGCTGCGCCGCGTCCGCTGCCGCGACCACGAGGCCGTCCCGTTCGACGTGTTCCGCTACGGCGTGCTCACCTGCTGCGTGCTGCTGGAGTTCGCGGCCAAGGCCGACGCTCTGTTCGCCGTGCTGGGCGCCGGGGGCTCGGCGGACACGCGGCTGTGCCAGGCGGTGCTGCGGGCGCTGGAGGATGCGCTGGGCACCGGGCACGGCCCGCGGCCCGGCCGCTACCTGGAGGCCGGCTCCAGGCTGGGCCCCGACAGGCTGGCGCTGGCCATGGACCAGGCGCTGCAGGAGAGGAAGCTCAGCTCGTCCATGAGCAGGGAGGAGTTCCTGAGGAAAGCCACCGCCTTGTTCATCGCCAAGGTGAAGCCCGTGGAGTGATGCCGGGTGGGAGCAGCGCTGGCTGCAGCCACTGCCGGCCCTGCGGTGCCCCCCCTCTAAGCTGGACTGTGAGGACAGGGCTTTGGTTGGGTGCTGGCTGGAGAGCCTGGCTCTGCCCGACAAGAAATTCCCAGTTTCCACACTCCCTCCCCTGTTCCAGTGGTGCCCAGCAGCTCTGTGTCCCTGCTCATGGCCTTTCCCGGACATGGCTCCCCGGCCCAGCTGCACTGGGAGATCCCTTTTACGTGTTATCCTGGACTGGCACGGAGGCTGTGACCCGTGGGGCCACTTTGGGCAGTGAAATGACCCAGAAGGAAYAAAGTGTGGGGCTGGGCTGTGGCCGCACAGGGGCAGCTGAGGAGGGCTGAGSTAGTTTGGGATGTGAAGTGCARGATCTGGATGAGACACATCCCCTTCCACCGGGACCAGCTGCGTGWCRGGGCGGGGTTTATTTATTGAAACTTGTCTGATTATTATTTATACTGTTCAATTCCTGGTTTGCTGTTAAGACATTAAAGCTTTTTATTATTTTTTTAGTGGCCAGTTTCTTACCTCCTAGCATCRCACACAGTGCCAGGATGAGCCCTGGGGCAAGCTCCGTGCTCAGGGGGCGGTGCTGACAGCAAGGCACAGGATTGTGAAGAGTGGAAGAGCCGGTGGGAGGATCCCCGCGGGCTCGGGATGTTGTTTTGGGCGGATGTTCCGCTCCCTGCAGGCAGGACGTGGTGCTGGTGTGGGCGAGGCTGCGGGTGGTGGCTCCTGACGCAGGCACAGCTGACGGGATGTGACACAAAGGGACGTGCGAGCCGGGGATGCCGGAGGCACCGCGTGCCRGCAGCGGCCTCCGCTCCGGTTCCGGGAGCTTCCATCGAGTGTCACGCAGGTGTGGCACCTGCAGGGTGACCCGGTGTCGCTGTCCCAGCCGCGATTCGGCGTGCGGGAGAGCCCCGGGGCATCGCCGATCGCGGAGTTCGCTCGGTGCGRCSGGAGCGCCGGAGGGAACGCCCCGCCCACCGCTGCCCCGCCCACCGCTGCCCCGCCCACCGCTGCCCCGCCCACCGCTGCCCCGCCCACCGCTGCCCCGCCCACCGCTGCCCCGCCCACCGCTGCCCCGCCCACCGCTGCCCCACCCCGCGCTCTGATTGGCCAGCGGCGCACGTAGGGGGCGGGACCGGCGTGGCCACGCCCCTCACGGGACTACAGCCCCCGCCGTGCCCCGCGCGGCCCCGCTCCCGCCGCCCCCGAACCCCCCGAAACCCCCGGGACCCCGGCATGGCGCGGCCCCCCGTGCCCAGCTCGCAGAAAGCGCTGCTGCTCGAGCTGAAGGGGCTGCAGGAGGAGCCCGTGGAGGGGTTCCGGGTCAGGCTGGTGGACGAAGGGGACCTGTACACCTGGGACGTGGCCATCTTCGGCCCCCCGGACACTCACTACGAGGGCGGGTACTTCAAGGTGAGCGGCGGGGGGGAGCCGGGAAGGCTCGGGGTGTGGGGGGAGAGGGGGCTGGGGGGGTAGAAGGCGGAGCAGGCGGTGTTGGGGGATGTGCTGGGGRTTTTGGGAAGGAGTTTCGGATGGGRYGRGACCCTGAGAGGGGGSTGTGGGAGWGGGAGGGTGTTCCAGRTGGGTGTGGGGGTCGTGATAGGGCTGCTCGTGGGATTGGGAGGGTGTTGAGGGCCTGGGAGAGCTGCGTGGACATTATTTTGGTGGACACGTGGGGGTCCGTGGGGTTTTGGAGTGGTCCTGGGAGGAGGACGGGAGCTGGTGTGCAGGTGGCTGCTGCCAAACTCCCGAGGGTCCCCTTTGTTGTGAGGGGCATTCAGTCCCCTTGGGGGCTTTGCCTCAACCTCCCCCGTTGGTCTGTGGGTGCGGGACAGTGAGCTCCAGGTGTCTGATGTTCCCTCTCCTGGAGGGGATCCAGGCCATTGCCACCAGACTGGAGGGAAGAGGCGAAAATCCCTCGAGTGCAAACACAGCCCAGGGTGGGAGCAGGGAGCTGGGTGGGGAGTGAGTGTCATGGCATGGTTTGGGGTGGAAAATGGTGTTTGGAGGCCTGGACTGCACAGTCSCCCCTCGGCAGGATGTGTGTGCGYTCTTCCCAGGTGTTGTGCAACCTGGGGCAGYTGTTTTCTTCCTCTTTCTCATCCTCCCTCCTCCACTGAGCTCGTGTGTTTTCATCCTGTTGCTGTCAGGGTGGGGATGCACAGGGTGAGTCACCCTGGGTTAGCCGTGCTTGTTTTCCCGGGCTGGCAAAGCCRATGTTTCCGAGCCAGGTTCCATCTCTTTGTTGAAATGGAGGGTTTTTTTCTCCTGTAGCACCTTGGCATGAGACCCTCTTATGAAAGGCTGAACTCTCACGTTTTCAGCCACTCATGTTCCTGTCATGTGCTCAAGAGCTCCCAAACTCAGCACTGAGGGTGCTGTGAGACTGTCCATAAGAAGAGAGTGGAGGGAATCGAGTCTTCCCCAGCCTGTGGGGACACTGCCCTGTTGGTTTGTGTCAGGGTGGGGTTGTTGCTGTCCAAACCCCCTTTGGCATCGCTTTGCCTCGGCCGGTTTTGTTCCAATCCCCTCTGACACAACAAAGGGGATTATTCTGCCATGTTCAGCTGTTTGGCCTGAGCCCAGCGTGGGGCTGAATGTCACTGCCCTGCACTCCACACACACACACACAACACACTTTTCCCATTCCCACCCCATCCTGTCCCATGGATCTGGTGTCTGTGTTCTCCTCTACACGATCTGAGGAGGCAAGAAATGTTTGGGGAGCTGTCATGTTGAGTCTCAATCTGAAATTTTGCTCCCAAGGCCTGGAAACAGCTGAAAGCTGAATCAGTCCCTGGGATGTTGTGCAGCCACACGAGGASAATTCGCCCCCCATCCTCTTGGTGGGTTGGGGCAGCAGCTCTGGAGACTGTGGGATGTTGCTGTAGGTCCCTGTGCCACCCCAGGCTTTGTTCAGAGCGATCCCCTCTTTGCCAAACCTCAGCCCCATGRGTTTGGGAGCTGTGGGAGGAGCTGGTGGTGGCTGAGTGTCCCTGCTGGAGCCCTGGGCTGCAGCCTGAGCTTCATGTGATTTTATTTTTAGCCCCCAAGCTGCGCGCTGCGGCCAGTTTGGACTGGGTCTCTTTTCAGCAGTGACAGGCTATTTTTAGGTTCAGTGTGTTAATCGGAGCACCAAACACCTGATGCTTCCTTCCCGTGAGCTCTGAAGGGTAAACAGCCTTTTCTCCAGTGGCACAGCCACGGCTTGGCCCTGACAGGAGCTCTGGGGGGTGACCCAGACTCTCTGCCTGGCTCTGTGTGCTGCTCTGAGGGTTTTTCTGGGTTGGCATCATGATTTCCCTGTGGTTCTTCTGCTTTGGAGAGCGCTGGGTGGGCCCTGCTGGAGAGGAGGGTATGGGCAGGATGGTGGGGAAGGAGCTGCTCACACCCCTCTGTCCATCCTGCCCCTGGGACCAGGGTCCATCCTGCCTTTAGGGCTGCAAACCTCAGACAACAGCGAACTGTTCACCTTGGGGAGCAAAAAACCTTAAATGAATAGATATGATTAGTATACAGAGACATCAATTCACAGGGAACTGGAACCCTGAAAAAGGAGAAAAAAAGAGAAAATAAAAAGAAAAAAAAAACAAAGAAAAAATGAGAAAAGAAAACAAAAGAAAAACAAGCTTTACCCATATGCTATACATTGTATGCAAAAGAAAAACTGTTAATTATTTAAATTATAATAAAAAGCAAAATTTCTTTAAAATAAATGACTCTACATACACCCCAAAATAAAATCCATATCTCAGTCACTAACAGGCTGCCCACAGAGCTGGCTGGTGCAGAGGCTCTGTCCCAGCAGGAGCCCAGCTGGGCTTGGCAGAGGTTCCTTTTTCCCGGAGCTGTCAGAAGCTCTGTGGTTTCCGTCCCTTCCTTCTCACAGGCTGGTGTTCATGTCTCTTTATTGTTCCCTCTCACAGGCTCGTCTCCGGTTTCCCATCGACTACCCCTACTCTCCTCCTGCCTTCAGGTTCCTCACCAAGATGTGGCACCCCAATATCTACGAGGTAGGTCCCCTGGGGCATCCTCTTGGACAGGCAGTGGACACGTGTGCCTCTGTTGGGACAGCACTGGAATCAAATGCCAGCCTTTGGTACTGGACACTCGGTGCCTTTGGCCATGAGTGCCTGGCACAGGGAATGCTGCTAATGAGCTCACGACAGCCTTTTGCTGTCTGGTGSAGGTTCCAGGTCAGCCAGGCTTTCCAGGCCTGACTGCTCCCACGCTTGGGGACATTGTGCCCGTGCCAAGAGCGGCCACAGGGTGAGCGATGTGCCTGTGGCTCCGGGGCCCATGTCAGGGGGGCACAGCGTGCTGGGCATGGGGCAGCCTGGCCTGTGTGGTGCTGGGGTGTTTGTCCACT